GTCGAGGTCCTACAAGTGCTACTGATAGTATTAGTATTAGTATTAGTAGTAGTAGTAGTAGTAGTAGTAGTAGTAGTATAGTATAGTAGTAGTAGCAGTAGTAGTAGTCGTAGTAGTAGTAGCAGCAGGAGTAGTAGTAGTAGTAGTAGTAGTAGTAGTAGTAGTAGTGGTAGTAGCAGTAGCAGTAGTTGTAGTCGTAGTCGTAGTCGTAGTGGTAGTGGTAGTGGTAGTGGTAGTGATAGCAGTAGTAGTAGTAGTAGTAGTAGAAGTAGTAGCAGCAGCAGCCGCAGTGCTAGTGCCGCAGTAATTTAATAGCAACTAGTAGCAGTATCAAAGAGCAGGAGCAACAGAAGTAGACCGGTTTACATGCCACGCAGCAGTCAGTCCTTTCGGTAGAATTCGGCAGAACCGATCCCGATCACTGCGATTTTCCTTGAGATGGAACGGCAACTTGCGTGTTCGTAGGCGTCCATTCCAAACCTCAAGTGCGAAGGATTTCTTAAAGGCTTATGCGATGACGCGGTTTGTTTCGTGTTTCGTGCGCCCCACAGGGAAGCCCTCCATCCCTTCTGCAGGCCGCTGCTTCCCTCCTGCGTGCTGCTGAAGACGGCAGGCTTGCCGAAGCCGGGCGCCCAGAGAAGCGCACGAGCATTGGATTGAAGCCACAAGAATCACAGCTGTCTTGTCACAGATAGGTGTCATCCGTGTTCTCGTCCTTCCGAGTCTGGGTGTTGCCCATTGTTGCGACGATTATTCAAGGACGAGGTTGCATGAGCAGCAATACCGCCAGGGATAGATACAACGCGAAAGCCAGACCTGCATCATATCGTTTTACCTGTTGCCTTGATTCAATGTTTGAGCAATACTGTGTTTGCATCACACAGGAGGGTTGCTGTTTGTGTTCTTGCATCAGTTTGCTAGCATTTAAAAGCTACCGGCTGTTCTGTTGCAGGACCAAGCTTGTTGGTGCACCCGCCACCATGACTACTTCGTTAAGCATCGCTGTTTGCGTGTGTGTGTGTGTGTGTGTTTGACCTTGGTTAGGTTCCATACTGGGCTTGCCATTAAGTTGTCGGTCCGGGAAGCCCTGCAATTTCTGTCGTATAAAGGTGGCTACGCCTCCAAGCCAAGCTTGAAAGTTTTGTCTAGCAGTACTGAAGCCTCCCTGAGGTGTTGGCTCCGAAGTCTGAGAAGGATGTCGACACCATGCGGAAGGATCGTCGGAGAATGGCAGTTCGCAGAAACCCTACTCTGAAAGAGGCCGTCTTGGGATCGAAGCCCGAAGGTTTGGGAGGCAAAAGTGTGCACGGTTCCAACTAAACCCAAAGCTCCGCCGTACTGCGTATGTAGATATATATATATATAACATATATATATATATATATATGTATGTATATATATAATATATATATATATATATGTATACATAACACATATGGTATGTGTATGTATATATACATATATGTATATACATACTGCCGTCAGGAAGCTGCGGCAGCCCTACTTTGCGCCGCGCAGGAGAGCCTGGGTCACGGGAGAGGCAACCGAGGCACAGGTGTTGATAAATCCTGCCTTCCGAGAGACTCCAATATCCCTTAATTAAGGAATATACCTTAAATCATATTGGGAATCCTACCATATTGGGAATCCTACTATAACTTAAGGTATATTCCTTAATTAAGGGATATTGGAGTCTCTGGGTTCCCCCTTCTAGAAATTGTTGAACCATTACTATCCGGACCTAAATAGTTGCCAATACTATTTGGGGGGGTTCCTTACTGTTAGTACACTATACTGGGCCCCATAGCCCTGTTCTGATTATCTTGGCCCCTACATTGCCTTTCAGGGTGCCCTTGAAAGTAGCCCGTATGATGACCTGTATAGCCAGTGGCACTTTTTGCGCCCTTGGAAGGATGGGCGCCTGGAGGCGGCTCTTGCAAAGGAGCTTCGGGCCAGTCGGCGTGGGTTGCATGATGAATATACTCTCACTCTCACTCCTACTCTCACGCTCACTCTCACTCTCACTCTCACTCTCACTCTCACTCTCACTCTCACTCTCACTCTCACTCTCACTCTCACTCTCACTCTCACTCTCACTCTCACTCTCACTCTCACTCTCACT